GATGTTCTTCCCTTATTTCGTTAGGATGATTTAGGCTTAATTTTTCCCCAAATATATGAACAGGCCTCGTGTTTTTATTAAATTTCAAAAAGAGTAGCTACCCACAAAGTATTCTCATGTAGTGTGGCCTGCAGCTTCAACCTCGACCATATCTCATTCGCACACCCAGCAGAACTCGAGCTTGAGGCGTGGTAGTGCAGTGTGTAATCTCAACGCACTAGCCACTAAGCCACATTGCCACAATTGTCCTTGGGCCACATGGTAAATGTGCATTCCAAGGGGAACTGGTACTCTGCCATACTACAGTCTGTGGTGGTACTATCGATCGAGCAAGGTTGCGTTTGTTAAAGCAACCAGCTACATTACTTATTTTTGTTTTATAAGTAAGTTTCAGGGGCTTCCAAGATTCGCATCTAAGATGAGATGTTAAGGTGATGCATTTTCCAACAATGATATGAGTAGACCTTACGTTGCCATTGAATTTCACATTGCCCCGCTTCCCAAAAGTTATTCTCATCCAAGGTAGACAGCAGTCTCGATCCCACCTAAATCTCATCAGCACCCCCAGCGGGCGAGATTGAAATTGCAGTCCATTTCAGCCTGAGTAGGAATACCTTTTGGGAAGCAAGACTATGTGAAATTCAAAGGAAACGTATGGTAGACCCATTTCGTTGTTTAAAAATTCAACTACTAGTCCTTCTTGCAAAGAAATTCCTAAATTGAATACAATTCTCCCTCTCTTCACTTGAATTATTGTACACAAAAATATTTGAGCCTTTCCAACTTCTTGTTCTAGGTTACGTATTCCTATGGATTTAGATTTTAAAAACCTGAAATTATTGCGCACTGTCACATATTGAACGGATTGGACTCGCAGTAACACAATCCATCTCTGAAGAGCCGTGAAGTCAAATAAGATTCGTATTTTTCGGCAATTTTGGTGGAGAATGAAAAGATGCATTGACATTCTATCGCTATCTCTAAGCCTTCCCAAGTTGGCTGTTAGCCATTTGATACCTTGCTGCATGATAAAAGAGAAGTCATTTTTATTCGAATAAAAGTTGGTTTTCGAGGAATATCTTAAATCATAATTTTTAAGCTAACTTCTATTTCGAGTGTTTCTATATTGATATTCAACCTGGACTGAGAGAATCACTGTATTCCTCAGCAAAATACAATGATATAGGGTATATATACAGCATTTAGGAATAAACGGGTAGCTGTTAGTAACTTGTTCGTTTAATTATGGTTGCAAGAATGATACCCTGCTCTAATACTGTCCGTTATATGATTAAAGAAAGTTTAGCAGGTTTTCAGCGGAACCAACGATTGCATCCTGGATATTATCAACCCGAATGTTCCAGAATATTCTGAAAGCTGACTAAGAGGACAATTCTTGACATAATTTCCCCCGAAAATGAAGTGAGCTTGTTAGTGATTTTTATATATGAGATATATTCACTGTATTTCGTTTAAGGTGATAAGTGGATTGGTAGTTGAATTTTCTTACAAACCTACTTATAAACGAAATATAAGTCATTTTTATTTCCATTTTAAGCTTACTTTATTTTTGAGTGAGGAGATCAGCAATACATTCGTCTGCATAACGCACATTATGAAAGGGGAATTTCAATAGTTGAAACCTGACAGCAAAAGTAAAAGGTCAACATTAAGCTTGGTAATCGTTTCATTTCATTTCCTCTTATTTGCGAGGTTTTGTTTGCCCATGCCATCAGTGAACAGGATACCTTGTCAGTATTCTCGAGCATTTAAACCATCTTCCCCTTTTACATCTTAATGCATTTTCTCAGTATGTGGAGGTGTCTATGTGGCAGAAGAAGGTCATTTCTCCTCTCCAGGATTTGCCAGTGCAACCGGCTATCCTCCCAACCTGAATTGTACATACAAAATCCAACCCTCTGCACACCACAATCTTATCAACCTTCACTTCGTTCATTTCCATCTGGAGGTGCCAGGTGTTGGTTCTAGGCAGCCTAACAACCTTTCAGAATATGACAACCAGACGTGTTGGTCAGATTACCTTGTGCTAATAACCTCAACAGAGCCTGGGGAGAGTGCCACACGAGCCAGCTCCTCGCATGCCGGGTTATTTTCCTCCGGTAGACGGTGGTGTGGCGAAGAGCTGGCCGGACTACAGGTGACGTTCTCCAACGTCGATGAGATTTTGATCCATTTCGTCTCGGACGGCTCGATCTCAGCTCCGGGGTTCTTGATATCCTACGCTTCCTCATGTATGTTGGCAGCACAAATCAAATAAAGTTTTTCATTTGGTCTACAGCAACTATTTACTAGTTTGCCGAAGTGTAACTAAAATGTAAATTGTATGAATATGATTATAATAATAACGCTTTTAAAACTGTATTGGTTTAGGGGAAGTAGCATCGGTCTATCGACCTAGCCAACTTTATCCCTTAGGACCGAGTTTGGTTCGGGCCATGCAAAAACTTTTATATAAAAAGAGGACTTACCTCTGTTCACCAGGTTACTGATGCCCATTCGGATAATCCCCACACTGGCACATCCTCAGGAACTCAATTTATCCAACTTCTATTCACAACAAAGTTCCAGTTTGTTACACTTAATTACAACCGACACTATGACCTTAGCATCAGCACTATACAGATTTGTCATAAAAAGTAATAAATACTAAATTAGCCATCATACCTTTGGATATTTTTATAATTTTTTGACTAAATAAGATACGAGCAGGCTTCGGTAGTTTGTTCTTTTATGGAGATCTATTCTTATTCTATGGAATTAAAACATGATGTCCTGTATCTTGATAATAATCAGCGAATAAAGAGCGGAAATCTGTGAAATTTATAGTGAGCTCTGATGTGTTATATGGGAAAAATTGGGAAGTAAACGCGTTTGAAACCTGTTTGTCTTCACCAGTTTGTCATTGTGACCCTCATAGTGATCTGGCTTTAAAGTTTTAGAAAAAGCAAGTCTTTTTCGAAAATAAAGTTAATTCACTAAACGTAATTTCACTTCCTGTCAAATCAACTTTTAAAGATTAATTTCGTCAGTCAGTCTTAAATAGCTGACCTGTAAAACCTTGTAGATCAAGTATTGTTCTTATGAAAAAGTTTGCAGAGAGTTCTATTCTGATAAAAAGAAACTATTTTCGTTTTATGAGTCGGATTTCGGGACTACCAGTAGATCATATATATGACATGTTTTCACCGTATTTAGTTCGAGGCGATGAGGGACCAATAGTTAAATTATACCACATTGATAGGAAAATACCTAAAGTTTCAAATGAATTTCACATATAACTGCTTCCCACAAGGTATTCTTATCCTGGATGGAGTGCAGTTTCGACCTGGCTTGGATCTCATTCACACCCCCAGAATGACTTGAACACAGGTAGTACAGCATATAGTCTCGAAACTTTGACAATTACGCCAAACTGCCACGAGTGTTTATGGATCAGAGGAAGGATGTGAATTTCAACGAAAGCCAAGCATTTTCCATATCACATTTTGTGGTTAGATTGTACATGAAGCAAAGGCTTATTTGCCACAGCAATTGGCAACATTACTTTTTTCGTATATAAGTAGATTTTCGAGGCTACCAGAAGGATATGAGTAGAGCTGACGTCTCCATTGAATTTCACATATCCTTGCTTTCCCAAAAGTCGTTCTCATTCAGGCTCAATTGGACTGCAGTTTCGACTTCGCATAGGTCTTATCAACACCCCCAGCGGCCATGTAACCCAAGGGCACTCGTGGCAATGTTGCCGAGAGGTTAACGTGTCAAGCTCACATGCTGCATTGTTACGGTTCGATTCCCACTGGGGGTATTGATAAGACTTATGCGAGGTCGAAACGGCAGTCCAATACAGCCTGGATGAGAACAACTTTTGAAAGCAAGGCTATGTGAAAATCAATGGAAACGTCAACTCTACTCATATGGAAGTGGGTTGACCTCGTTGTTGCAACTTGGTATTGTTGTCCTAAAGACTTAGTAGAACGCACCTAGTCCGAAGTCGTCTGCCATAGTAGTTGTCATGATTCCCAGAATCAGACAGTGAACTTGGTACAATCTTAAACTTTTCGCCGGCATCAAAGTCGGCATCATCATTGAGTTTTGTCATTCTCCTCACCAAGCTACGAACTCGTCAAAGAGACAAGTGAAGTCAATCCCTCGACAAACGTTCTGACGAAAATAAGACCAAGTGGCGACAAAGAGGTCAAACAACTTCTATAAATCGAAAGGAGACTGCGACCATACCGGAGGCCACAACGTCTTGGTCTTCATATTTACTTATATTATTGTGGGAAAATTCTACTACCAGTCTTTCATCACCTTAAACGAAATAGGATTAATACATCTCATATATATGATCTACTGGTTGTCCAAAAAATCTACTTATAAAAGGAAAATAAGTAATGTAGTCTATTGCTATAGCAAATACAACTTTGATTTATCGACAAACCCTCAACAGACTGTGGTATGGCAAGTCACGACGACTTTTTCATACCCATAAACGAGCTTGGATGATACGAGTTCTTAATTAAGAACTACTAATGTATATATAAGCAATGGTTTTTTTGGAAATAATACTCGGGTTAACATACTTCTAGCTTCTTAATACAATTATATTATTATAACAAATGTGATTGACCAGTTCTGCTAGCTATCTATACCACGCAAAGCCACATTTTTATTTACCTTTTATCTTTTTTAAAATCTACTCAGTCTGCGGTTGGGTCAATAATCAATCCCGTGGAGGCGCAATCCAAACGCCAAACTTTCCGTCACCCTACCATGCATTTGCTGATTGTATATGGACAATCATTGCCCCCGAGGGTCACTTCGTATTTTTCAGGTAAATGAGGTTTGTATAACTCTCCAACCCTATGGCGATTTAGCTCCTGTCTTAAACCCATCCGCAGCTGGTATGGGCCTGTTCAACAATCGACTCATGGCTTACTTAAAAACGTTTATTTTAGAACAATTGGCTAAACTGTTGGACCTGGTCACTAAGCCATCTTCCTAAAACAATGTTCGAATGTTAGCACTACTTCTTAGGCCCCTTT